TGACGCTGCTTCCGGCATCAGTTTTTTGTCTCTCTTCGTCTGATGCCTACCCTTTGACCTGTCCAGCAAGGGAGGCCCTGCCAGTAGCTACGCTACCGCTGGTATAGCTCTCAGGGTCCTTGGCATACTCAAACCCCCTCAGGTGGAGACACCAACGAGGGGGATTAAGCAACATATAAGCCTCAAAAAAACCCCGGTTATGCCGCAAACCGGTTAATCCGCTCCCGGATAATCGAGAGTTGAGTGTATTTATCTTTGGTGTTAGGTGAAGAACCTGGCAAACACAGAGTTGAGGTTAAGTAGCAGATGGCTCAAGTATTCCATCCGTTGAAGTGTTACTAACACATTGCAGACCAGTTGTTTAAATAATTAAATCACCCTGGGGACTGGGGTTTTTAAGCCTAGCACCCTAACTTGTGCACTGTTCACTTTAAAAATTAATATATATCTCCTAATTAATTTTATGAACTAAAATTTTTGGAGAACACTTACCAGAGCTCCTAGAAGTGCTTGCGCATGTGGTATCTCTGGAAACATTCCCCTTTGTGAAGAGGCATCATGCAGAAGTTGCAGATGTACGCAGTCCTACTCTTCTTCTTGTGGACTGCGCACACACGACACTGCCTAGAAGGGTACTTCTTCTTGCAATGTTCACTCTTCACAATTCTCATGAGGGTATGTTTCCGCATATCACCCGAGAGTTGTCCAGGGGGGTCCACATGAGGCCTCCGGCAGGTGCGAACAGATGGCCCCAGCTGCACTACGTCTGTGTCTGACGCAGGTACTGCCGCCACCGTGAGGTCAGTAGCCCAAGCTTTTGCCAAGTTCAACAGAAATGCTTTGTATTTCAAAGTAGAATTTCTGTTCACCCCATGTGGCTGTCCCGGTACTCACACTTTCATCAGAGCTCTCACTTTCACTGGACACAATATTTTGGGGGGCCCTGTGCACCCTGTCACTGTCACTTTCACTAAGGCCAGCCTCGCTATCAGAAGACAAAGCAGTTGGCAAATCTGATAGCTCATCGGAGAACAAATCTAATATTTCTTGTTCTCCGAGAGAATGCTTTGCCTGCAACTGCTTTTGTCTCTGATCCATGTTGCACTGCTAACTTCCTGGTTCATACGTGGAAGCTTGGACTCGAACAAAGGCTTTTTTGTTTAGGGTGTGACAGGAAGTGAGTGTGATCATGTTACTGGCTAAGCTAGCAAACATTCCCGAGGTCAACTACGAAGTAGTTATGATGCAAAGTGGCCACACAGCGAGATGTAGTCGGTTGCAACATAACGCATCAGAAAAGGGCCAATTGGCCCCTCCGGTCCTGAATGTGTTAAAAACAATGTAAAAAATGTGTATTAATAAAAACAAATATCTATGAAAATGTGTAGAAAGTCATGCAAGATAACTGCCTTCTGGGATGTAACACCATGTAAGTGATGTTTAAGAGGAATGTACTTCCTCCATCTTCAGGGTCAAAGACTAAGCCAAGAAAGAAACCAGCAGGAAGCAGGAAAAAATGTATTGTCACATATAAATATCACACAAGACTGGAACTGTTCATTTTCCAAGAATGTGTGAGCATCATTAAGGTTTGCCATGTTCATCTTTCATTCATTCATGAAGCCCTAAAAAATCCTGATTGGCCTCCAACTTCTTGGTGTAAGAATGTATTACTCTTCACACTGAAATATTTATTGGAAATCTAAGAACTGAATATTCAGTATAAACTGAAGAACATTTTGTTCAAACATCATTACTAGAAGCTTCTTCCAGAAACTAAAGAGCAAAACCATTTTTCTTACTGTCAGAAATCCGTATTGTAACACATCTCAAGACTATAAACAGGATCCCTAGCAAAGAGGCAGATATTAGATGAGCTGTATTTTGAAAACAGAACATACTAAACACCCAGGAAAATCAATACTTTATATCCATGAGTAACAAATAAAAACCTGAGATATTAATCACTACAGCCAAATTGGAACCTTACCCAAAACTGCTGCAAAAGAAAATACTAATCATATCACAGCCACATCACATTTTACTTCAATAAGAGAGAAACATCATCTATGTGTAGCATTCTGACTGTGATCTCTCCACATAATCAGGAGTAGCATGATAGGGGTAAATCTTCATAGAATCAAGTTATATTCTATATCTGTCACATTATTTAATTGAATTACTAGTAGAGAAACTCGTGTATCATCAGTAGGACAGCTCGTCCCACAGATTAGTCAAAATTGTAGCCCTCAGTTACTCTAAAGTACGTGCACAGTCAGTTACTGAAGAAAATATGGATAATCATACACACAGCTCATCTGCTTAGCAGACAGGTACATATTCATCTCTGACATTTAATTACATGGTCTGTAAAAACTCTCCATTTCCCTAGTGCACAACAGCTGTTAATGGTCAGCCATTTGTCCACTGCATATTTAACTAAAACAATTTATTGTGTCACGACAATATACATCTTGAAATGACATGACTTATGTTAATGTATGGAGCCATACTGTTAAATTATAGTTTCTAATAAAGGTGATGGCATAATCATTGAAAGTTACTCAGTGCACTTAAAGTTCTGTATTTCCAGTTGGATCAATGTTATGATGTAACTGTTCCCACAACAGGACTTCCCAATGGCTGTAGTTGGAACTGCAGGCCGTGGACTGATTGTTTATCAGTTAGAAGGCAAACCACAGGAATACAAGCGTATTGAATCACCTCTGAAATACCAGCATCGTTGTGTCGCTATCTTTCGAGACAAGAAGAAGGTTCCCACAGGTTATGCCTTGGGAAGTGTAGAGGGTCGAGTTGCTATCCAATATGTAAATCCACAAAACCCCAAAGACAACTTTACTTTTAAGTGTCATCGCTCAAATGGTGCTCCCAATGGCTATCAAGATATTTATGCAGTAAGTATATTAAAGTATATCAAAGTGTCTTTTTCTTATGAAATGTTGATATCCTGAGTTGTTCTGATGTAGTAGCCAAAGTTTAGCCTATAAGTTCACTTACAAATGTTGTAACAGGTATGAACATTGTTAATTTGTACTGGAATACAAGTGGAATTAGGTATGAAAAAAATACTGGTACATAATTACAAGCTCTCTGCTGTACATGTAAGTTTAATTTCATGATGTTCAACACTAAGAGATCATGTGGTATGTCAAGGTGTATCCCACTTAATGGTATTTCATTGTGGCACTTGAAAATTACCACCACCATATGGTTTGCAGCTTTCCTCACTTCATTAAAACACCTCAGAAAAAGAAAAATTTTCATTAACATTAAAAAGTATACTACTGCATACCAGTACTTCAAGTTTCATAAAAGTTAAAGCCTCATTGTAATGTTTCATTGTTACTCTTTTGTTCTCTTTTTAGTTTATTTACATATTATTTCCACTTGTAATTTTTCCCCCAAAAATTTCTTATCCTGAAGTATGGGCATGTAAATTATGCAAGTAAATATGGCAATTTCCATATTTATGCATCCATTGTATAAGATCTCAGATATAATAAGGGGTTTTTTTTATGGCGCTACAGCCCCAAGTTGGGCCAAGGCCTACTTCCATGAAACTCTCTGTTTCACTTCGGTTTACTAGATCTTACACATTCGGTAGGACTCCTTGGGCGAGTGATCAGCTCGTCGCAAGGCCTCTACCTGTAGACAAACACAGAAAAACGCACACAAACATCCATGCCCTGAGTGGGATTCGAACCCACGATCCTGGCTTCCGAGCGAGCGAAGACAGTGCATGCCTTAGACAGCTCAGCTACCGTGACCGGCATAATAAAGTTTACTATAGAGAAAATAGACACTTTCAACGTTTTATAGAAACCAAAGTATTATTGATATAGCCAAAATATGAGACTGACGTGGTTTTTCAGTATATGTCTAAGTTACAAATGTTCTATGTGCGAGCCTTTTGTCACACGACATATCAATACGATAATCCAATTTGTTCCAAACACACTGGAGCATGTAAGTATTTTGACTATATCAACAATACTTCAGTTTCTATAAAACGTTCAAAGTGTCTATTTCTTTTATAGTAACCCTGTATATTCCTCAGTACTAGTGGAAAATTTGAAGGAAAAGTAATTTTATTACTTGTCCAAATAAAATGCAGTACATTTCTGAGACAGATTCTGCTCCCCCCATCTATTCATAATGGTCTATTGTAGATTCAACAGATGTTCTTCTGTTAAAAAATGCTCCGCTAATTATTCTGTGGGTTTCCTGCATTGCTGGATATTGACCCCTAGAATGAATGGCTTATCAAGGCTTCTAGTTGCTTCCTTATTGTCTTCCATGATTACATAACTTGATTTGTGACACATTTGTGTAATATTTACAGTTAATTCAAACAAATAAATAGGACCTAAACCATATTGTGACATGACCAAATAACTTAACAAGAGACTCGTCCATTGCTTGGCAGTGGCACAGCAAACATGCTATTACATCATCAAACAAGTCATCCATTGCTACACAGCAAACAAGAACCATTGGAGATGGTGTTTTCTGTGTGGTGTGACCCTGGCTATCTAATAAGAACAACAGGACTATTTAATTGAGATTCGACAGTTGGAGTAATGAGTTAGTTGTGAGACAACTGCTAGCCAATAGGGAACTGAGCACAGAAGGAGAGGACTTTGTTGGGATATGTTACCAGGCAATGACTGGTGATGAAATAGCAAACTGCTGTAGTGAGAAGTAGAATGCATGACTAAGTAAGGGCAATATGTGCAGTTACATTTTGTAAGTATTCAAAAAATCCAATTATTAATCCACACCCCATGTCTAGTGACTAACACCTAACAATATCAGTACCATATAAATGTTCAGTATTAGCACTGCTATCATATGCTGGTCCTTAAATTGTCAATTCTTAACAGTGCCACAAAGGAACATGGTATGTTCACAAGTTAAGCAGTATCTGGCAACTGTGGCATACTTCAGAACTTGTGTATCCACAGAGACTATTTATATGAGAATATTTCTGCATCAAGCACATTACTATCTTCGGTTGAGCAGCAGTAAAGGCACTGAATAGTTGTATTTGTGTTAGATTGATGTTGCCTCGTTAGAAAATGTACATAAAAGCAGAGCAATAACTTCAAAAATATAAAACTGAGCAAATTGTGAGTGTAGTGGTAATGGTAATGCAGATCACCAAAGTATGGTCATCAGTACCGGCAAACTGTCAAGGCCACTGCTACTGGTATTGCTCTTCACTGATTATTATTATTATTATTATTTAATTTTCCATTTTATAGCTGTAGAGAATTACAATTGGAGATGTCAAATATCAACAACCTCACATCAAAAATAACATAAGTAAAAAATAACATAACCTTCACACAGTGATTCATCACTATAATACAGCAATACATTTCAAAATATATTTTTAACTTAAACAAATACTCCAAAAAAAAGACGTAAGAATAAATATTTTAAACATATACACAGATTTATTAACAAGCAGTTTATGTCAACAGTTAATAATAATAAATACTCTAAAATAGGCACAAAAATATGCAGACAGATTTATCAACAAGCAGTCCATGTCAGCAGTTATTAAAAAATTCTTGAAGAGAATAGAAGACATTACACAAATAATTCTTAAGTTTCTTAAAATGTATTACGTTCTTTAATTCAGTTGGAAGGCCATTAAATATTTTGGTTCCCATACTAACCACCCCTCTCTTGCTATGTTCAGTATTATAAAATTGTACATACAAATTGTGTTTATGAATAGTGTTATAGCCATGAACATCAGAATACTGGGTGGTATAAATCTTATTTTTATTATAAAACATAGGATCTCAAAAATATATAAGGAAGTAACAGTTAAAATCTTTAATTCACGTAATAAATTTCTACAGGAAACTCTATTTTTAACACCTTTTATCACCCTTACACATTTTTTTTGCAGTTTAAATAAGAGTTTCAGAGTCCTTTTGCACCCCACCCCAAAAAATAATACCGTATTTCAACATGGACTCAAATTTTGCAAGATACACACTTCTTAAAACAGTTTGGCTCACTGAGTCCCATAGGGATTTTATCAAATGGGTAGTCTTGCTAAGTTTTTGACATACATTGTGTGTGGGTTGCCCACCTTAAATCATCAGTAATGCAAATACCCAAAACTTTTACATCCACTGAATAACCCACCTCATTATTTATATAAAAAAGGGGTCTGGTAATTGGAATAGATCTACTTCCCCCAAAAAATAATACCTTTGACTTATCCATGTTTATTATTAAACAATTTTCATAAAACCAATTTTATAACTGAGTCTTTACATTTTGAATTTTTTCATTTAATAATAAAATATTTTTTCCAGTAATCAATATATTTGTATCATCAGCAAATAGTACTACCTCTGCATTATGTATAACTTGGGGCAGATCATTTATAAATAATAGGAATAAAAGAGGTTCCAAAACAGAACCTTGAGGTACACCATATTTAATTGCTTTAAGGGATGAGGTAACTGTCTTCATTTTAGAAGTCGTTTGAGCCATATAGTGAATTTCAACAAACTGTGATCTATCTGTAAGATACGATCTCATCTGTGCATGAGATATTCCTCTTAGTCCATATGGTTCCAACTTTGCAAGCAGCAAGTTATGATCATGGCAATGTCCTTCTGCTGTATTCTGGCAGGGATGGCTTCATGCATTGCTGGCTACCCTTTTGAGTGTTCGTATCAGCCCATCTCTATGTTGGCAAACTTAATGGATTGGTTGATTGTTATCTGATAACTGTGATGTGTGAATCTGTGTTAGGTTATAATCTTCGATTACATATATTTTAGTTCTGAGCACTAGTATTTATTTTCAGTTACACTTCTCTGCAGTCACTTATGCCGTACCATTTAAATTACCCCAACTGGGTACAGTGGCTCACAAGTGCCTTTGATTGTTGTATTCTGGGACCATTCCTGAAAATCTTCATGATTACTGCTATTGTAATATTTTCACGACACTGGATATTGTACAAGTGTTTTGGTTACGATATGACACAATTGCCAGACAGTCTGTTTTCTGAGAAATAACTGAATCAGTTTCTTGTGTCTTTTTCCTCATTCACAAATATCAGACAGCCAAATTTGAAATGTAAATTAAAATAAATAAATGTCATAGTCGGGTAAATGCAGTATAGTTAAAATTTATTTGTAGTACATGGAAAGCTGCTGTACATTTAATGATTCATTTTTGAGGAATCAAATCTTTCATTAAGTGAGGTATGCAGGTATCCTTTTTTATTTGTATACTGTGAACCATTGTCTGATCACAGGTGAACGATATAGCATTCCATCCTGTGCATGGAACATTGGCAACTGTTGGGTCAGATGGAAGTTTCAACTTCTGGGATAAGGATGCCCGCACCAAACTTAAACCATCAGAGGCCATGGAGCAACCAATCACTCGTTGCTGCTTCAATAGTAATGGACAGATCTTTGCTTATGCTGTCAGCTATGATTGGTCAAAGGTGAGTTTTAAATGTATGAATAACATGTGAAGTTGTCCCATGCAGTAACTGCAGTACCACGTTTACCACACTACATACTGCCCTTACTAATAGTTCTTTGTCAAGAGACACCTCATGTTAAGAAATGCATAATTTAAAATTTTTTGAAAGTCGGCAGAGAAGAGGTAGCACGTCAGGGTTGTCATGTTGTTAAGTAACTACCCACTCAGGTCTTCAGCACTAGTTTATAAACTAGAGGATAGATACAAGAACCGTCTGCAAATAGCCTGTATTGGCATCCATGTCAGTAGTTGAAATTGTAGCACTGGCTGCTGCCATATAATTTAAGGATTTTGCTCCAGGTGCCAACAAGAATGTGGATCTCTAACTTAATATAGTTAGTCACTGGCTTCCCACCGCGGTGGCCCGGGTTCAATCCTGGGTCTGGTCAAGTGGGATTTGTGGTGGACAAAATGGCACTAGGGTAGGCTTTCTCAGACTACTTCAGTTTCCCCTGCCAATCTTCATTCCACCAATTGCTCCACAATCACCCTCATCTATCATCTGGTGCCGGTACAATAGGCCAGAAGTGGCCGCAGTACAAGGCCCTTAGTCCCACCCCACTAGCAATAATAAAAAAAACTTAATATAAGTTTGTAATATGGTCACAGGTGACAGTCCTGAATGTAACTTGTTTATTTGAACTTTTTTCTAGTGTATACCCCCTGGTCCCAGGTAATGCTTGCTACCATCCAGTCCAGAACCTTTTGTCTTCTCATCTGCTGTCCAAAATCATAAAAATTAGAATATACAAAACTATAATTTTGCCTGTGGTTCTGTATGGGTATGAAACTTGGTCTCTGACATCAACGGAGGAACATGGACTGAGGGTGTTTGAGAACAGGGTGCTGAGGAGAATATTTGGACCAAAAAGGGATGAAGTGACAGGAGGTTGGAGAAAACTGCATAATGAGCTTCATAATTTGTACTCTTCTCCAAGTATAATTAGAATGATTAAGTTAAGGATGATGATGTGGGCAGGGCATGTAGCACAAATGGGGGAGAAGAGGAATGCATATAGGATATTGGTGGGAAAGCCAGAAGGAAAGAGACCACTGGAAAGACCAATATTAAATATGGACAATATTAAAATGCATCTTAGAGAGAGAGGATGTGATGATTGATCTGGCTCAGGATAGGGACCAGTGAATGGCTCTTGTGAACATGGTAATGAACCATTCGGTTCCATAAAATGTTGGGAAATTCTTGAGTAGCTGCAGATTTGGCTTTTCCTCAAGAAGGGCTCAGCTCCATGAGTAAGTAAGTATACCCCCTGGTGGGCAATGCAGCATACAAAGTACGCTGTGTCTCATGGCAGCCAGTGTGTTAAAAGAACCACCCCTAAATCTCATTCAGTAATGTTGAGAATCTAAAAACAAAATAAAATCTCAAATCTTAACTCCTTATTGACTTCTTGCCATGAAGAAGATAATGGTAGTAACGTAAAATTATTGTTACTGAAGCTCTGAGTAGTTCTGTAAAAATATATTGAATATGTAGCATGGTGGAGAAAACAAGAATGTACTAAAATTTTGACTGACCGCTTAGAAAATGTAGGGAAGTATAGGTAGAGGGTAATATTGAAGGGGAGCTGAGCTAACACAGAATGGGATCAGTGGCAGGTTTTTTGGAAAAACAGTGAATGTGGGTTGCATAATGGGAAATTTGTTGATGATTTGTGTAACTTGAAACTACTTACGAGCATGTACCTTGGAAATGGTTGGAGATTATGCTGAAGTCATATCAGAATAGTTTTGTGGGCATGTCACTGTATTATATAATACATAATAGTAAATGTATATATTAAATTGATTGGACTTTTGTAATTATTTTTCTTTTCAGGGACATGAATTCTACAGCCCAATGAAAAAGAATTACATCTTCTTACGATCTTGCTTTGATGAACTGAAACCTCGCAGTTCTTCTTAAGTACACTTCATACAAAAGGTTTCCAGTGGGTAAGTTTTCATAGGACTGACACATGATTTTGTTTGTATTAAAACTTCATTGCATTTAACCATTGTATTTACTGTAAACACACTGTTTATAGCAATAAATTCTATATAAATGTATAATTTACAATCTTATATATACAAGTTGTTTGTGAATTCAGGTACAGAAAGTTGTGTAATATTCTTGTGCACTCCCTGACCTGTCAAAAGGAGCTTAGAGAATAATTTCATTCTTGAAACTGCGAGTAAGCTCCTTGTATGGAAGAACAATGGAATTGAGAAGAATCACTTCTGAGGGTACTTTCACACTGCAGCCTAGAAACAAGAAATATTAATTCTTTGTTTGTTGTACAAACATACAGTTTCTAAATTAATCAATAAATTAATCAAATCATATTGATAATTTCAGTTTCTGACATATTTTTGGAACTTACAAACTGATACACGTTCTTGTTGCAGTTTTGTTTTCCTTGTTATAAAATATCTGCTTTACATTGTACTGTCATCTTGAATGGTTTGAAAGTTTAGTGGTTTTGACAGCAATATTTTTTCAGAAATGCTCTAAATTACAACCTCTGATGAACAAGTTCAAATGCAATGATGGGGAAGAGTGAAAGAGAAATTTTTCAAGTTTACAGTATACATTTTTGATAAAATTTTATGTTCCAAAATACAAGTTGTGTGTCTTTAACACTCATTTAGTTTTATTAACATTTGTAAGAGAAAGTGTACCAGATGTGTATATGAAGATGTATTATAGACAGTGATGTGAAGGACTTACTGAAAATCATCCATTTTTGCAATATTTACTTTATCAGAGCAGCTTAGTCATAATTTAATCAGTAAAATTGTGTTGAAACTATTTTATCATCATGTAAGACTTTGTGGTCTAGTGGTCAGATTTTCTGGGTTCGATTCCTGTCACTACCAGATTTTCGGAGTAGTGGATCTGGAACGGGGTCTACTGAGCATTGTGAGGATAATTCAGGAGCTATTTCAAGGAAGCAGTGCTCTGGTCCAGAAGACTGAAATTAACAGCCGTGGGGGTGCATTGCACTGACCGTGCGACACCCTCTATCCACTAAAGTTGGCACTAACTTCACCGACAAAAGGTGGTCGCTCAGTTGGTCAGTATAGTTCACTTGCGGATTAAAGCGACGGGGCAAGACTCGGTGCTGTTGCAATTAGAGCATTATAATTTTGGATAATGGTACTGCATTCTGGTGGAAGGGTGAGTTAATTTATGCTAGATCTGTCTTCAAGGCAAAATTTTTTTATTTTTACTTTTACTTAATTATTTTGTTGGAGAATTGGAGCTAGAATTGGTATGGTAAACCAAAGTACTCAATAGTAAACCTGCCTCACTGCCACTCTGTCCACCACAAATCCCACATGATGTGGCCTGCGATCATACATGGACCACTGCAGTTGGAAGTCAGTGACTAGCCACCTGAGTTATGACACAGACCAAAGTAACTGTAAACAGATTGTGTATCTGATGCCCTCATTATATTACATTGCTTGGAAGATATAAAAAACGATGGCTAACTAGGTTACCAAACTATCCTGTAATTGTCCATTAAACCTTAAAATCATTACTATGCTGAGCTATGCTATGTAGCTCAGCATTTTATAAGAACTTCAACTTTACTAGAAGTACATATTGCATTCAGTTTTTCCCTGTTATTCTACTAATTTTCATATCTAGCCACCTGGGATTACCTTTACTGTATGTTAACCTTGTTCTGGTAACACATTTTGTTTGAAAATGAATTCTTACAAGTAATTTTAATTAAACTGCATTGAACAGACTGAAATTGACATTAGAAGAGAAAGTTACTTTGGCCATCTTCATCTGATTGTAACTTAAATTGGGAACAGAATCCCTTCAAACACGTCATTATTACAGATTCAAATTAAAAGCCAGACATCCAGTAAAACATTGACTGCTAGCATAGCACCTCACCTAGAATTGTGATTGAAGGATTCAGTCTTCCATCAGAGTTAAAAAGTGGAGGGTTATCCATCTTTGCAAAAGGTTTGTTGGGATTGGGATCACAGGGAGTTCCTTCTACTCTTGTCCACTGTCCAACATGGCTTCCACGTCCTACAATGCTGTGCAAGACAAGGCTATGGTCTAAAATTGTTGCACCACTCAGCACGATGGACTCGCGTATACGCACACCAGGACCTATCACAGCTCCAGCTTCAATGCTTACATTTGGACCAAGCTGTAAATACATAAAAGCATTACTCCTCTGCTAAAGATAGTTTTCTTTATAAGCAGGTCTTGTTTCTTTGCCTTTTATTTTTGATACAACAGACTAAGCAAATTTATAAAATTGTGCAAAGTAAAGCATGATAATTAAGATGGTCCCAAAAACCTATTTGCAACAACGTCATTATCTCATGTGTTTGACGTACTAATGTTATGTTTCTTTAGCTGTCCACAGTCCAGTGTCGCAGAAGTAGACTCAGAACTCTGCAATTTACAACATCACTGCAGTGAAATCAGTGTCTGCTGTTTCTGCTCAATGAGCACTGTAGGGAAGAAAATGCAAAATACTGTGTTATCAGCTTTCAACGTTATGTTACCTCAAGTCAAATGGTGAGATGGAAGATTTGTTTAAACAAAGCTTTAGGATACAGAGAATCTTGAGCAAACTTTGCAGCCTTAACCATTAAGGGAAATTACCAGCCTTTGTGTAAAACTGTGGATGAGTTGGGTGGAGGAATTGTAACAGTTGTTTGTGAACAGTGAATAGGAGGGTGTGCCAAAAATGGCATATGACACCTTTCGCTTAGGTAACTGATGAGGCTAATCATGGTCATGTGATTTACTTTTTTTTATTTTATTTGCATTGTATGTTAGTAGCACTGTTTGTATTAGACACATAGATACAGAGAAAAGATGCAGATACAGGCACGGAATTCACTCTGTGCAAAAAAGAAAGAAATCTAATACACATTGTTTTTGGGTAACACAGAAGTGTCAATACAAAGAATAAATTTCTATGTCCACCTGATGTACTGCCCCATTAGCTCCAACTTATACATTTTAAATCTACAGTCTTTGTCAGAAAGCTAATATCACTTAGCCAAATTCCTCATACTTTACAGAATCCCAGGTTCATCATCATGTTTTCAAGAGAGTCCCACCAATATTTATTTTCAGCCAAAGAAATCTAGCCCAAATCCTTCCATTTCACTTCCTTAAGATCCATCTTTGTATTATCCTCTTATCTATGCTTGGGTGTTCCAAGTTGCCACTTTCATTCAGGTTTACAAACCACCGTTTTGTATACGTATTCCTTCTCTCCCACGCATACTACATGCCACACTCATCACATACTCGAGATCATAATATTTAGTGAGGGATATAAAATATAAGGCTCCTCATTATGCAGTTTTCTCCATCCTCCTGTTTGTTCCTCCCTCTTAGTTCCGAATATTCTCTTCATTGCCCCATTCTCAGATTCTTTTGTTATGCGTTCTTTTCTTAATGTAAGAGACTCAGTTTCATATCCATACAGAAACAAGTAAAATTATAATTATTTTAATCCTTACATTAGATAGCAGATGGGAAGACAAAAGATTCTGAACTGAATGGTAGCAGGTACTCCCTGATATTTCTGATACTCAAGATATTTGTTTCAAGTCAAGTTGGTTGTATTACACTGGTTTATGCTAAGTATAATGATTAGAACACACTTGTAAATTCATTAACAAATCAGGGGTTTCAGTCTGTTATATGTGTTAATATTATTTATGATTCTTTATTCCTTTGCAGTTAATGTAAAATGATTAGAGATATAAAGGGTAGGAAGGGTCATCCTAGTCTATGCTGAAGCTTTGATGTACTCATTTTACATATAAAACATACATATTGTAACCTTACTGTTGCAGTGGTATGCACAGTGGCAGTGGGATGGATGTAAACATCTCCTATTATGTTACATCTCTTTTCCTTTTCCTTTTCCTTTTCCTTCTCGCCCACAAAGTCTTCCTGAGCAAGTCGATCCATGTGCCGAGAGTGGTACAGCTCCAGGTAGTGTCTGTTAGCGTATATTGCTGATCCTGCAGTCTTCAGCTGGGACCACCAGTTGCTGGTTTGAAGTGCAAACACTCTACCTGTTCCAGCTAATGGCATCAGGACATCTATCTCAAGGTAGATAACTGCAGCTTCCTTCCTGTTCCCATTACCACTTGCATCACTGCAAAGTGGTATACAGTGAATCAGTGTCCAGCTCATAACTCTGTTTCATTTTCCAAACTATCCCAACTTGAGCAGATTATGATAGCACTATAATGTAAGCTGCAATAGCTTGGACTCTGTAGGAACTTAGTTATGGTCTGGACAACTAAGGAATTAAAGTTCAATTCCTAGCAGAGGCAAGAGATTTTTCTCTCCTCCGCTGTGTCGAGACCAGCCTTTGGCCCACTCAGCCTCCTATTCATTAGCTACTATATGGTAATGAGGCCAGGGTATGAAGCTGACCACTCATCTCCATTCCCTTGTACAAGGTGGTTCAAATATGACCGGGACTGATTTTTTTTTTAAACCAAAATTGCCAAAGACTTGCACATGTCAGTCTTCAACGTACTCCCCTCCGGAGTCAACACATTTTTTCCAGCGTTCTCGAAGCATGCTGATGCCCTTTTTAAAAAAGTTTTGTGGTTCGTGGCGTATCCACTCCCGAACATTCTGGATGATGGCATCATCCACAAACCGCATGCCTTGCAAGTCTGATTTGAGCCTTCCAAACAGGTACAAATCACTTGGTGCCAAATCAGGACTGTTCGGCGGATGTGTCAGAAGGTTCCATTTCAATTTCCGGAGGGTTTCCATTGTTGTTTTGGCCATATGCGGGCGTGCATTGTCTTGAAGGAAGGCTACCTGCTTTCCACCTCTCTTCTGCTTGGATCGGATATTTTCCTTGACATCTGTTGCCAGGAGGTCTGAGTAATAAGCTGCACTGACTGTTCTGGCATCTGTTAGAAAGTCTACATGGATAACCCCCTGCCAGTCCAAGAAGAACGTTGCCATCACTTTTCCTGCCGAACGGCTCCTCCGTGCTGTCTTGGGTTTGGGAGAACTGGTATGCCGTCACTCACATGATGATTGCTGGGACTTGGGAATGAAGTAGTGCACCCACGTTTCATTGGTGGTCACTACAGACTTCAAAAATGCATCACCTTCGTCTTCAAACTGCTGTAGGAGACGACCGGCAACTTGCATGCGCACCATTTTGTTCACATCCGTCAAAGTGCGTGGTACCCACCGTGCATTCACCTTGCAATAGTGCAGGTGGTATTTCATGATGTCTTCTACACTACTAACACTGATGGACAGCATTGCTCCAAGTTCCTTGATAGTGATGCGCCTATTCTCACGAATAAATGCGTCTGCACGATCAATGTTTGACTTGGTGACAGATGTTCGCGGCTGACGATCATGCGGTTCATTCTCCACGCGCTCTCTGCCCTCTATGAAGCACTTACACCACTCAAACACATGGGTCCATGAGAGACACTCTTCCCCATACTGTTGTTGGAGTCTGTGGTGAATTTCAGCAGACGGGACGTTTTCTCCAACAAGGAATTTGATCACAATGTGTTGTTCCACGCTCCGTGGTACCGTCTGTTCACTCATCACTCTAGCAACTTCCAGACAGGACTCAACAGGTTCTAACCCTAACAGGAGGGAGGGTGGATGTTGTGGCTTCACTCTCTCAAGGTCGCACAGCTGCTGCCAGTGTGGCTTGTTTACAAAAAAATCAGTCTCGGTCATATTTGAACCACCTAGTAAGTCTTCGTGGGATGTTTGATTAAGCACGGGGAAAACTTTACCTTGATAGAGCACAGGTATCAGCCAGGGCTGTATGTAGGAAGGACTTTTACAGGTTCAGATTTTTCATAAGCAATGATTATAAGGACACCATGGGAGAAAGGTGTATTTTCTGACAAAGTGCAGTTAGATTTTCCAGGGTTTAACATTCGTATCACTAGCATAGCAAATTTATTTAGCTACGTAATTAAATGTAATTCTTGTTCACTTTATTTTTCAAACGACTCCATAAATGAAAACTAGATTTGCTAGAACTTGTCCCTGTGCTTAATTAATTGATATGCCATGATGTATGGGGGAGTGAAGGTATAGCTTCACCTTTCTTGACCTTGGCAGTAGATGGAAGTGAGTGGTCAGCTTTATCCCCAGGGAAAGAGCCCCTGGTACCCACTGGATAGGAGGCTCAGTGGTGCCCAGAACCACTCTGGACACTACCAAGAGAAAAAATTTTGTGCCTGCCAGGAATTGAACCCCAGTTATCCAGCCCATAGCCCATCACTATACTCTCGGAGCTAACCCACCCCTTAAACTAGATTTGCTATTGTTCTCATTTGCTGCTTTGAGAGGACCTCATTCTATCGACCGTATAACCTAAGAACCTATTTCTTTAAGATTAATTTTTGTGTTACATTGGAAGGCAAACTATCCACAATCCCTGCAGGCAATTATAAGAGAGAAGTACCTTAAGCTTTATTGTCCCTGTGTCAACAAATGCGGTGGTTCAGCAAGCCTCTAAGCCTGGTCTCACAATGTTTACAATATAAACCCCATTATCACCAAGTTGGCTGCTAGTGCCATATCAGGGGGGGAGATTTAAATGTAGACCAAGGGTCTCCAAACTACGGCCCGTGGGTCACATCCGGCCCACGAAAGAATTGTGCAGAAATGCGCCAATTGAACTAATTTTCCAATGTGTACTGGTAAAAAAAAATACTTATTCGTAATTTCAAATTCATTAATTAAGATTGTGTTTAATATATAGATATTCCATATTATGTTAATATTAATATTATTCACAGTTTTACTAATTCTTGACTGTATACTGAGGGGTATTTCTTCGTACTTGTTCGGCTCGATCGGCAGTGTCACTTCGTGGCAATGTAGGTAGCGCGAGCAGTTCGTTACTAGCCGTCTTGTGCACAAGACTTCTTGCAGTGGTGCAGTGTAATTGTAACAGGTCATCATCACCACCACCGGTGTCGTACTTATTACCATTTTTGTATTAAAGGCTAGTTATGCCCAGTTTTGCTCTAACTGTTCCGAAAATTGGTAGCGAGGAATATTGATAAGGCTACCAAAACTTCAGTCCAATCTATGACGGCCGGTGTGGTGCGGCTATCGGTTACCCCTCCCAGCCAACAAAGGATGTTTCCAGAACGTTTCCTAGAGTTATTAATTTCTCATTTTATCTGGCCCGTTGAGAGTACTGAATTACCTAATGTGACTCGCGTTTCGAAAAGTTTGGAGACCCCTGATCTAGACGATAAAAGTTCAGGCCAGAACCACCTGCATGTATTTCCCAACTCACCACAGATGATCATGTCATGTCCTGAATAACTTCTAAAGTTGAACAGCATCCTTTTCATAATTACTGTATGTCATATTTGCTCTATGTACTTTAATCAGCTTTCCCCATTTCACATGACTTTGATATTTTTACTAACTTGTAATATTCTTGCTGACGCGTATTGAACACTGCAGCAAATGTCTGGAATATCTCAATGGAGCAGATGTAAACACCACAGTTTATAAGTGTTGAGACAAATGTTGACGGTTTCTCAACATAATGCGTTACTTCTGAGGTATCGCGATCCTGGACGATACAACCGTAATGCACTGACTGCTGCCGTGTTGCTTCTGTTGCCATAATTGTTACCTGTTTCAGAATTAGGTATTTAATGTTAGAAACCGTAATTATTATTCTTGCTATTGCCATTGAACAAGAACCTGATCCAGTTCAAGCCATATGTTATTCTCACAAACTATTTCCTTATCTATTTTAACCCTCTGCTACACCGAACATAGTAGAATATAGTATTATAATAAGTATCATGCCACATTTGATGTGCTACAGTGTATCACTCATGGAGCTGAGCCCTTCTTGATAAGCTGCCAATTGTGCAGCTACTCAAGAATTTCCTAGCATTTTATGGAACCTGAAGGTTCTTTACTGTGTTCACAAGGGCCCTATCCTGAGCCAGATCATTCTATCCTCTCTAAGATCCATTTTAATATTGTCCACCCACTTATGCCTTGGTCTTTCCAGTGGTCTCTTTCTTTCTGGCTTTCCCACCAATATCCTATATGCATTCCTCCTCCCTGCCCACCTCATCCTCCTTGACTTGATCATTCTAATTATACTTGGAGAAGAGTACAAGTTATGAAGCTCCTCATACTATAGTGCAGGCATGTCCAACTTCAAACAGACTGTGATCGACTTTTTAGTGTCAAAACTGCCAGTGATCTACCACCCTTTCCTATCATTCTACCTCGCTTTAAGCAAAAATATTGGTAAAATAACACAACACATGATGTTTGTTGTAAAAGCAACATACATTGAAAGTACAGACTACTTTATTACGTATTTTCCCTTCAAAATCTGAATATAATCATATTATATTACAAGTGAATTTACATGCTTTTCATGTATAATTTCCTTATAGGCCTATGAGATCAACCAAAAACCGTCCCGCGATCGACACCTTGTACATGACTGCTATAATGTATAGAAGGGCATTTCAATTCACTGATCTGATGGCATCAGGGGACAGCGAATTTAACTAGTGAGAGGGCAAAGAGCTGATATTATGAAGGCTATTTAAATGAAACCCAATCAGCTGCTAGGGAAAATATCCAGTCAAGCAGTTTCATATGAATAAGCTTTATATCTTTCCATCTCCTTGGTCTTCTAGGTCATTGTGTTCTAAAAGTTTCCCCTTCAAAATTCTCTATATATTTCTTTTCTCCCCATTCAGTCTATGTCAATCTTCTCAGTTTCTCGTCATGTAGTATCCTAACGTGTCGGTTATTCTCTCTTATGTCCAAATAAAATCATGTTTTGCTAACATCTCTTGGATAAGTGTCATTGAAAAACAGCCATGATAGGTTACTGCAAAACATGTTTCCACCTAGCATGTAATATGCTGATAGTTTCATATGAAACTCGTCTCTTTATATGCAGACCTAATTTTCTGATATGAATCCAGTCACACCTATATGTAAGTTTGTAACATGCAAAATAATGAGATTCAAGGCATACACAATCTCAGCAATGATATGACATCACAGACAGACCAAGCAGCTTCCTGGGGTAGCACATTTTACTTTCTCCCATACATAGTATATATGAGAAAGCAATGTGATGGTGAAAAAATCAATCTTGAAATTTTGATGCACTTGCATCTTTAAAGCCCTCCTGAATATGAAAATGTGGCATTTTGTATGCTATGTCCATCTATACATATGGATGTGTCCCTTGCTAGCATCTGACTGGTTGGTTGGACAGATTTAATTCATGAAGAAAACAGTCTTCTGGGATGTGGCGCCATGTAGATATTATGTTAACCTACATTTCGGAGGAACGTATCGCCTCCATCTTCAGGGTAGAAGACAAGAAGAAATCCGTGAGCAAACCAACATGGGCAGGTGCAACAGATGGAGGCAATACGTCGGTTGACACAATATCTACATGGCGCTACATCCCAAAAGACTGCTTTCTTCATAGTCACCGCCGTGAAAATCTCAGATCTTACAGATTTAATTCATATTTGTTATTCATGAGTTCGTCCAGTTTCAGAAATAGCTACCCCTCTGATGGGTCCCAAGACACAAAATGAGTTCCCTAAGGATGGCTCTAATGATTTTACTAAATTTCAGTAATTTATGCAGACCATCTCCCTAAATAAAATGGCATAGGTGATGTCTTCAGAAGAATAATGGTATAGGCACTAAGGACCCAAACATGATTTATACATTTTTCCAAAATGAAGGGTCAAAGAAACAACAGGGAATGTGTTGTGATACTGAAACTATACAGAGTAGAGGGCTACAATAAACACTAACGAAGAATGGATAAGCGAATGAGTGAGCAAGCATGATTTTTTTTTTTTGACTCAGAACCATAGCTAAACATGGCAGTTGAAATAATTTGCGGAAGAAAAGCATGAAGAATTTGGTATAATTTTAATGTAATGTAAGTTACCTTCTGATCAAAATGAACTTACGTTCATTTTTAAAGGTTCACCAGAATTAATAACAATTCAATAAAAGTTCAGTTAATTATATTCAGTTTTCCTTAAGCAGTTTAAAGTTACATTCAGCCAGTCAAGAAACACTGTTATGAAGCCTAGAGATTCATTATTGTGTTCACAAAAGCCAGTCACTAGACTGTATCCCTTGCTACTTTAACCCACTTTCTACCTTAGCCTCTTTCTCCATTTTAAAATTATCATCCCATCTAGACCTTGGTCACCAAACTGGTAAAAATCCTTCAGGTTTCCAATCAAAATGTTGTGTTCTTAGTATTGTTTTCTTTTTCTCTTTGTGCAGTGAACTTCAGTAAGATCTGATTTAATGAAGGTATACATTCTGTCTTCGTTCATTCTTTATACTTGACATACCAGTGATGCTTTCTTTTCTTGATGGAAACGTAGCATTTCAACCAATGGAAAATCTGCACAAACATCTCCATTTAAGACAAAAAATGCCTCAGGATTTCCAGATCGTATTTGATCTCGGAAGTGATAGAGCCCTCCAGCAGTTCCCAGAGCAGTAAATTCCTGCAAATATCTGAACAGAAATCAATGTTTTCATCACCCTACACTTTCATCAGCCAAAAATTACAAACATATAGAACCAACTTACCGAATATTTACTTTGTACTCTTGAACCATGTCAGCTACAAACTGAGTCAGTTCTGAGGTAGGGTAGTAACCTAAAATGAGGATTTCCTTCAAGTTTGGAACATTAACACATGCTTCTATGTGGTGTTGAATCATAGGCAACCCAGCCACTGGAAAGAGTGGTTTAGGTATGTCTAGTGAGAGTGGGCGAAATCTAGTCCCTGGAACAAATTCAACATTTGTGGTAACGCAGCATATTGGAAGTGAATGAAGGTAATTAGTACTAGAATTCTGGGAGCAAACAGTGTGGACTGCACATGCTCTTCACAGCCCACTGGAGCTTTGGTGATCATTAATTATATAAAAGTGAGTTAATTCACAAAGTTGTGTGTTTTAAAGATATATACTCTGTCAAAATGGCTACTTGGAAGATGTGAGACCAACTTGGATGAAATTAAAATATCCCTTGAAGTGACAGGTGTTGATCACATGAATTGGATTGAATGTGCACAGGATAAGGCTAGGCTTATTTTTTTCTTCCTGTGATATTAAAGTTTTGTGCAACAACTTCAAGTTGTCATGATTGCTGTTTGTTACAAACTTCATGGCCTTCCAGTATTTTATTTCTTAATGCCATTTATTTGATGATGCTGTCAGTAATTCCCAGGCTAAATGGAGTCAAATAATTGGATGATAATGAAGTGGACTAAAGATGACAGAAACCTCGTGACAGGCTATGCCTGTCAAAAGCTGAACCTCCCAAATATAAACCCAAAGCATTACACTACAGCCAACTTATGGGATTCATCCCATATACAAGCGCATTTTTGGCCAACTCTTTAGTTTTTCATCATATCAAACATAAGCATGCCACACAACTTCGTAGAACTCAAACCCCTAAGAGATCGACCAAGTACACTATACCTTTTAGTGGACCCCCTATCAATATCACTGCTTTCAGCATTTTAATATGCAGCAGTTGTTTAATGAGGTCACATGAAACATACACGTACACAAGCACAACCAAGCATTACATGAGAACAGTAGTACTTGTTGATTTGCTGATGTAGAGGTTATAGGATCAATTTCATGTGCGGTCATATGCGTCATATGTTTGTGAGCACGCCACAGTATTACCTTTGTAACAAGATGGCGTTGCGAGATTCAGTTTGATTCACATAAAATCTACTAGAATGTGCTACAGGCGGCCGGATGAGCGTTGCCTAGGCATTTTTTGTATTTACAATATTTTTTTCTACAATTAAGAAAATCGAAATGTGGAAAAAGAAGAAGATTCCGCGGAGCCATCAAGACGTAATAACCATTTCAACCCACAGATGACACTGTAAATGTTATATAATTATATAATATGCCCACTCGATTGGTCGTCTGCTGTCCGCTATCAGTAGCGCTCAGTTGCTCAGTGGCGCTCAGTGGGCTCAGTAGTAATCGGCTATTCGACGAAAGACGTGTGCGCCAAATTTGCTCTGTGATCCTCATATACGTAAGGACTGTGCTACATTTTCTTGTTAACTGAAATACCTAATTGGAGACGATGTCTGAAGAAGGACTTGAATATGATGCTATAATTCAAGATGGACCAAAAAAGGTGAGAACATATTCACTCTTGTATTATGGACTTGCAGATGGCAGTTTCTTCCATGATACGGGAAATAAAATTTAGTAACGTCTTCGCTTACTTCAATGTTAACACGTAAGTTTTATTCTTTTATCAAATATAAACACATTGTTACTTTTCGTAAGGACCAACATAGTCGGCAATGCAGTTACAGCGAACATCTCGGGGCAATGTCCGACACTTAGACAACACTAAATTATTCATATGCAAATTTTTCACAGAGTACTGTTCTTGATGTGGCGGAATGATGCATCTAAGATGTAAGCAAGAGAAAATTACATTATATCTGTATTAAAGTTGTCTTCAGTTTGCAAATAAAACCAGACGGTGTTCTGATAGTTCCCAGATGGAAATATCCCAATGTGATGGTTTGAAAGACTTGCTGATAATAACTGTGTACGCTTAAAACCGTGATTGTGAATCAGTTTTATTAATTTGTATGTTATAGTATATACAGATTATGTGAGATTATGAGAAAGTGGTCATTAAAGGAGGACCGCATTATCCGAATGAGAAATTTAGAATTTCGTAAAATCTTGACCGGCTCAATTAGTTCAATTAATATGGACTTGTATGTGCCTTGGTAGTGTCGTGAAAGAACGTCCTAGCAGATTTATAGCGGCAAACGAAATAGGATAATATGTTTTTCATGTAGTACTCAATTTACAGAACGCAGTTGAAATTGATTTATACTGCTGGGAAATTTTTACAGAACTGCATCTTCCATAGGTAATATAACTTCGAAACTCTCTTCTATACAAAATATTATACTAGTAGTTCAATGATTTATTCTTTTACGAGTTACATCATAACCAATGTGAGCTATTTTCAATATGATGGATCTGTGGAACTTATACGATTTCCCCAAAACATATAATTTTGTTCTAACTTCATTCTATCCCGGAGAATTGTTTGGAAGACTTGTAACCGAATGAATTTTCGAAACCGGAAACTTGCTGTGTTACATATCGCAAAACCACGTTATGAAGATGGCCTTCCAAAGACAGTAACTAGAAGCCAGGCTATGCGGTCTAGGTTCGGCCAGGTCCCTTTTCAGTGCATTGTTTTAAACTAAAATGCTCAATTCAGCATTGCAGTAAAAGTACAGTTGATGCAATATGTGACAATTCAATACAGCTATTTTCAAATTCCCATAAAAGAGGATTTCCCGAGAACACATCTTCCATAAAAACTACTTCCCATTTTCATAATCAATGGTCAGATTATACAGGCTAGTATGCAGATATCTCGTGATAAATTTGTGATTTTTTAATAATGAAAGGAACCGGTTTCAAAATGATATGACATGAATGAAATACCATTCACATTTCCCATCCGGCGTGTCACTGTAGACTAAACAACGTTATCTTCGAAGAATGCATCGTATTGTGTTATTCTGTACTTCGTTTTTGTTCTCCATCTCAAATCTAATACACAACGAAGCCAGACGCAGAATTGCGAGAGTTGGATAAACCCATCATAAAAGAAGAAAACCAAACCGTTGGAAACATAGAATAAAACGTTATAGAACATTGCCATAACTGATTGCGAACTGTTCAATTGCTCCATAAGGAAATCAAAATGGGAGTAGACATAAAGCACTCCCGACCACAATCAAAAGACCACCTGTAAATAACTACATATTATGACGTTCTAATTGAGCTAATAGACACCAACATAAATAATTTATATACAACGATATTTAGACACGACAAATACCATAATTATAACGAATATGACTTTTAATTCATTGTCTGAATGTTTTAGTACATCCTAACACAACATATTAGAACTTGAAATTTTTATTTAATTTTATTATGGTAGCGTAGTTGGTTGAGGCACTATGCTACAAGCCGGAAGGTCGCGGGATCGAATCCCAATGAGGTGGATATTTTTTTTTTTATTTACCTAATCCATCCAGCCGCATTATGGCCCTGGAGTCGACTCAGCCTCTAACAGAAATGAGTACCAGGAATATTCTTGGGGGTAAAGGGCGGCCGGCGCGTAGGGCTGACAATCTGTGAGCCGATTGTCTAGAAAATGTGGGAACTTCAACATCTCACAACCCTATGGCCCTTCACGGCCTGTTACAGGGATACCTTTACTTTACTTACTTTTACTTCTATAAATATATTTATGTACTTCTCTAGGCATCCATTTGAATGTAGAACTTTTGTTCCAGTTTTAATACACTTATAATACTTATACTAATTCAGATGAAATATTGACTGTATTAACTGAGTGTAAAGTTAGGTACATTAGTAATAGTTATTATATTTTAATATATGAATTCATATAAAGCGCAGTTCAGTAGTTTGAAAAAGTTGGTTAATGTATACTGCCTGATGATGGCTTTATAAGCCGAAACATGTAGCACATTGTCATGCTATTATAACTAATAAACTCATTATAGCCAGTAAAAGTGAATGAGATTTTGATAGTTGCTATGTTGAGACGGAAAACTATAACGAAGTAAACAATACTATAGTTAGTTAGTTATTGGAGAGGGTGGGTTTCCCCATGCACTTAGACCTGTATTGGTCCATTGTGCTTCCCTCTATGATTTCTACCAGTCTCTATATCCTACCGGTACTGATGCTTACCATCAGTCCCGGCCAGCCAGCGAGACCGGTTCTACTAGCTGAGAGGTATCTATAATGCTTCCCCCATCTACGAGAGGTATTAGAGACCGCTGTTGGGCGGGAAACGTCCGTAATTTGGCTCAGTGACCTCCTTTGGAGATATGAGGTTCTTTTACGTGCCGTAAAGCTAAGACACGGGACCCACGGCTTAAAGTCCCTCCAGGAGGACTTGTTCCCTGAATTTTTCCGCCCTTAAAAATTCGACGACCTCCGCCGGGTATTTGAACCCGCGTACTACGAGTCATGAGGTGGGAACATTACCTCTAGACTACGGAGGCCGCTTAAACAATATTATAACTGACTTCATTATGTAAACGAAATTAGTTAAATAAATCAAAACATGGTTAAAAGGAAGCCATGCCAGTAAGTGTAGGTAAACATTTGTATGGTGCAGTTTTCTATTAGAGCCGTCTAAAACAAGTAGATTTTTTAAACTTAGTTCTAGAATACGCCATTGGGCAAGTCTGGCATAACAAGTTCCATATATTCTGCAGGGTTGGAGACCGGAGGGCCGAACAGAAAGATGCGCCTTTTAATGGCTCGGGTCACTGAGATGGAAAGAGCAGCGATCAGGATTCAGCTAATTTTGCAGAAATTAACGTATAAAATATATTTCACAATGTTTATAAAAAATTTACTTACCTGGGGGTTTCCGCGATGTGCTCTTCTCAAGGTTAACCCCGAAATTACTGGGGACCTTTGTAGATTAATTGCCGATCAGATGCGGTCGCCACGTACTGATAAGGGTCATTTATTCATCTGTAATCTCTCAAGACAACAGGTCCACAGTCTTTTCCAAAACAGTTCCTTCACTTGATGCGATCTAGAGCTTTCTCCTTCAAATGAAAATATCCTCTTCTGTCCCCAAGGTCATCCAGCATCTTCTTACGTCTTCTTCCTCGTCTTCTGATCACTTCTATCCGCCCCTCTATCTTTCCTTCAATAACTTCTTTTAGAAGGCAGTTACCGCATAAGCTATGACCAATCCAATTAGCCTTCCGTTTTCCGTTCCCCTGATAGGGGTAAAATGGGACAATTTATTCTCAGGAGGGAAGTATTTTAGGACGTCTAAATTTGAGTGTATAAACGAAATTGGCTTAAATACCAACTATTGCTGAATATTTATTTAATCGTGACATATTTAACGACGCTTTCAGTAACTCAGGTTATATCGCGTCAAAAGATACAGGTTAATAATTGTGGTTCTTATTTAGGCCAGTTCCGTATTTAGGAATGCCATTCTCCTTTGGTATGTCCAAATATATTCCATACGAATATGTTTGCCCATTTTATTAACATGATACAAGCATCTCTTGGCCAACATCTTTTTGAGAGTTCATGTGTAGTCACATAGCGAATTTGAATATCAGCTTAGGACAAGGAGTTCCGAGTAAATCGCAAAAAGCTTACTCCTATATTCCGTGTATGTGTCTAGGTCATTCTACGGTGGGATCAGTAGCCAACTTACGTAGCACCGAATGGTAGGCTAGCAGTTGAAATATGATTTGGAGAGGATGAAGCAGGAAGCGGCCATGACCTAATGGAGGTTTTATAAAGACATTCGCCTGTAGGAAAACCACGAAAATCCTCAGTCAGGATAGCCGGGTTTCCGGCCAAGACTCGAGCGCAGCTTATCCTGAATGCGAATCAGCGGTGCCACGACGCGATCCTGTTCGATTCCCTATTTCTTTTCTTTGGCGCTACAGCCCCAATTTGGGCCTTGACCTTCCTCTTCGGTTTAATAGATCTTAGATATTCGGCAGAATTCCTTGAGCGAGTGATCACCTCTTCGCAAGGCCTCTGCCTATACATCAACACACACACAAACACTGACCATCCATGCCCTGAGTGGGATTCGAATCTACGATCCCGGCTTCCGAGCAAGCGAAGACAGTGCATGCCTTAGACCGCTCCGCTACCGTGACCGGCCCCTATTGTATTACAAAGATTCAATTTTCTGCTCGAATCTGCGGGAAATCATCTAGCAGCACAAATCACATTTCACTGTTCTTTTTTCTTAGATCTTTGCTATCGTGTCAGTTGAAATGATATTTACCTCGTCGCATATTTTTTTTCTCAAAGAAATTTTTAACATTTGCAGATGACAGAAAGAGAGTAGAGCCCCTAGCGAAGCTGGCACCTTGTTCACAGTCTCGTTAAGGCGCTTTTATTTCTCTGCGAAAAATCAAAACACTTTCATCACCGTTCGAATCTAGGACAAGGCATCCACAAGTTTTCGTCGTTGTACAGTCCTTCCAGGCTAATACGAACTTTTATCGGTATAATATATTGGAAAAAACTGTCCTTCCTTTCATTATTTCCAGTTTG